TTTTTCTTTTTCTTACCTTTTCTTCACATTTAAGGTAATTAAAAAATTAAATTTTTAAGGAAAAGGAACAAGATGTTCAACCACAGTTGTTAATTTTATTTTGGTATCGAATGCATTGATTAGTACGCTTTGGTTATTTTAAAATATGGTATACTAAAAATAATTTTTCGTATCGGACTTGATATCAAATAATACTAATTGTTTTTCATTGATTTCAACTGATTTCGATGAATTATAATGGATTAACTTGTTTCAATCACTACATTAATATAAAACATATTTTAGAATTTTTAACTTATATTTTGTTGTTTGACAATTTTTAGTTTAATAAAAATAAAATAAAATAATAAAATAACCTTTTTAAAGTTGAATTTTTTTATTTTTTTATTATAACTTATTTTTTATATTTTATTTTTTTCAAATCAAAATTTATAAATATTTCAATCTCTTTTAAAAAAACAATTATACTTTTCTTCTAAAGTTTAACAATAATGAAGTGAAAGTTAACTTTTCCTATCTTTTTGTTTTTATATTAATATATACATAAAAAAATACTTATTTAAATATTATATGATCAGATTATATATTTAAAAATATTATAAAAAAATTATAATATTATTTTTTATACTTTTAAATTTATTTATTTAATTTTTTAAGATATTGTATATTTATTTTATAGAATATTAATAATATTATAAGTACAAATTTACATATATTTATAAATATATTTATACCAAATCGAAATATATAAAATAATGTAACGAAATAATTGACACTAATATATATCACATTTAAAAAAAAAATCAAAATATTAACAATTTTATGTTTAATCCCTTACTTTAATTTTAATTTAAAGTGAAAGCCAAACATAATTTTTTTATATTTTTTATTTTTTTAACTCTCTTCAATTCAAACATAAATTAAGTGTATAAAAATTGGATACTCTTTTTTCTATCAGTTCTAAGTTATAAAAATGGATTTGTCATCTGATTATTTAATATAAAACTCCTGAAGGTAATTATCAAAAAAGCTTTTCCCATGCTTGGGAAGGAAATAATTTTTGGGGTCAACGGACAAAATAACAAAGAAACGCGAAAATTGTCTTACACTTTTTTTTTTAAAGACAATTTCCGCGTGAACCTCACGACATTTTACTTCCATCTCCCTCTACAAACTCACAAGTCACAAACTTCAACTTTACTTTTTCTCCATCATCAGCCAAATGCCAAGAGCCAGCGGTGGATGTTAATAGATTCGGATGTCCATGTACACCTTCAAATTAATTTTTTTTTAATTTCTTTGGTCATTTTTTAAAATTTCTTCTAAATATTTTTAAAATATTTTTTTTATTAATAAAATTAATAAAAGTGTAAGTAAACGCCCAAAATGTTGAAAATATTAACTCAAATCTTATAAGAGATTTGTTTGAAATTTATTAGAGATTTTATTTGAGATTTATCAGATATTACTTAATAGACAAGAAGACTTGCAAAATAAAAATTCTAAGAGAAAGAAAATTTTTAATAGGTAAGTTTGACTTACAAGAGAATAATTCTAAAAAGAAAGAGATTTTTAATAGGTAAATTTGACTTACAGGAGAAGAATTCTAAGAGGAGAGTAATTCTTAATGGGCAAGTTTATATGGTTATAAATAGGTGAAGTCTCTACAAGATTAAGTATGAGAAAAAGATGTAAGAAAGTTGTAAGGTATTGTGAGATAGACATCCCATAGGAGTATTGAGGCTCTATGTCTTATGGGTGTGTATATTTGTTTGTGAGTGGACTACAGGAGATTGAGAGGGTCCACATAGGTATGATGTATGGGAACATATGGGTATGTGTTTAGTTGTGTTGAAAGGGTGCACAAGAGTTTGTGTTTGTGTTTGTTTGGGTTGAGAATACTCCATAGGACTAGAGGAGATTGAGAGTGTCTTATAAGTATTGATTGTTGAATGAGGTTGATGATTTGATGTAAGTTTGTAATTCCCTACAACTAGTGGATCTTTTTTCTCATCCGTGGATGTAGGTCAGTTGGACTGAACCACGTTAAATTATTGTCTCTTATGTGTTTGATTTATTGTTTGATTTTACTTTCGCTGTGTGTGATTGGATTGGAGGCTTTTAGCCCAACAAATGGTATCAGAGTTGTGGTGTTCCCCAACAAATGGTATCAGAGCTGAAGGTTTGAAACGTGAGAAGAGTTAAAGATTCAAGATGTGAAAAGAGCCGATGATTCGAGACATAGGAATAGTTGACAGTTCGAGATATGTGAAGAGCTTGGTTTGAGATGGAATAAGTAAGCTTAGAGGAGCTCGATTCAAGAGAAGAGTTCGAGTTTAAGATTGAGGATTGGTTTGTATGAAGCATGAAGACACAAGAGAAGATGATTATGAGACTTTCATTGCAGGTGGAGCCAAGCATGTCTAGCATGAAGATAGATGATTAATAGAATTTAAGTCAAGGTAGAGATTATTGGGAATATCGACTCAAATCCCATAAGAGATTTGTTTGGGATTTGTTAGAGATTTGTTTGAGATTTGTCAGATATTGCTTGATGGACAAGAAGACTTGCAAAAGAAGAATTCTAAGAGAAAGAGGATTCTTAATAGGTAAGTTTGACTTGCAAGAGAAAAATTCTAAAAGGAAAGGGATTCTTAATAGGTAAGTTTGACTTACAGGAGAAGAATTCTAAGAGGAGAAAGATTTTTAATGGGCAAGTTTATATGGTTATAAATAGGTGAAGTCTCTACAGGGTTAGGTATGAGAAAAAGATGTAAGAGAGTTGTAAGGTATTGTGGGATAGACACCCCATAAGAGTATTGGGGCTTTACGTCTTATAGGTGTGTATGTTTGTTTGTGAGTGGACTACAGGAGATTGAGAGGGTTCACATAGATATGATGTATGAGAACATATGGGTATGTGTTTAGTTGTGTTGAAATGGTGCACAAGAGTTTGGGTTTGTGTTTGTTTGGGTTGAGAATACTCCATAGGACTAGAGGAGATTGAGAGTGTCTTATGAGTATTGATTGTTGAGTGAGGTTGATGATTTGATGTAAGTTTGTAATTCCCTACAACTAGTAGATTTTTTTCTCATCCGTAGATGTAGATCAGTTGGATTGAACCACGTTAAATTATTATCTTTTGTGTGTTTGATTTATTATTTGATTTTATTTCCGTTGTGTGTGATTGGATTGAAGGTTTTTAGCCAAACAAATAATATCAGAACTGTGGTTTCCCAACACAAAAAACATCTAAATCAGCCATCACCATAAACCCACAAAATTTCCATGATTCTTCACTCCCTTTTCTGGTTCTTCTACTTTCCTTTGATTTTCCAGTTAATTTTTGTTTCTTAAAAGAATTAACAGACTTGTTTGTCTGCTACAACGAAACCCATGGTAGAGATTTTTGAAGATTTGCCATAATGGAAAATATTTTTACCATGATCCAAACAAGAAAAAAATATTTTATTCTGCGGCAATATATCCAAACATAAGAAAAATGTTGAATTCTCCTTTACAAAATTAATTTTAGGTTACCTAACGGAACCATAGTACGAGAGTAGAGGTTTTGTCATTTTTTATTCAAATGTTCAGAGTAACAAAAATAGAAATTTCAATGTCTGGCAGTTTAGGTACAAGATTGTCATGTAAGAGTACTGTTTTCAGATTTACAGGAATATTCACAAAATAAATAAATAAAAAAAATGAAATTTGACTAAGTGGTAAAGGATTAATTAAACAACAATAATTGGGGGTTCAAATCTTGCTAATTGCAACATTATTGCTCACAGTCATATGATTAAAATAAGGAACTCTTTATTTCAATAACTAAAATTTAATCTCTACCAATTTCAAATAAAAAAAATTGAGACACTCTTAAATTTTAATTAAGCATGTAACTAACCGAGTTGTGTTTAGACCTAACGTTTTGCACGAAATTAGATGTCCAATAGCTGTTTCCATTCCAACCCTCATTTACTTGGAAGTGGAAGCAGTCAGGTTTATATGGATTTGAATAACAGTTAGCAGCAAATAACAGCATTTTTTTTTTTTTTTTTTGTAATCTGCTGAACAATTTTCCTTTTGGGGCCAGTAACTGCTATGCAATTATATTGGAAACAACTAACTTGATATGTCCGGCCATCAGGGGTTGCAGTGAACCAAAAACATTGTCCCGATACACTTCGAAGAGATCATACCTAGTTATAAGCATTTCTTCATTTGCGTGGTCCACCCAAATCCTGGCTCCTTAGGCCACAGCATAGTTGACCCAACAGATGACATGTGAGCCCACCTGTAAGAGTGACCACTGACCACTCGAACACTATAATCAATAAGAGAAACATGGTGGGTCTAGTCCAAAATCCTTGGTGGGCCACTGAGTAAGAAAACACACAAGGGTCAATATCAGATAAGGCTCCATACCTACTTCATTTAATACAGGCCACTTTTCATTTTTTTCTCTTTCGCAACCCATTTTCTTTAAAAATCTTAGGTCCCCCCATTCCAGTCCTTTTATGCTTATTTGTACAATTTTATTAAATTCTGTCACATCCCATTTCTTTTTTCGATGAATGACATCCCATGTATATATCTGAGCTAAGAATCTCCCGTTAAGATCTAGATCATTATCCAACCAATGCATTTGTTAAAGAATGAATCTTTAGTTTCTAAAATCAGAGAGTTGTATTATCAATTAGGTTATATCTTCATCACTGTCTGCCAACAATTAAATCCATAATTTATTTTTTGTTATTTGTAAGTTTTTCATTCTAAAATATGTAAAGTTACAAAACCTAAAGAGCCCTCCAAAAAGGGTGCATCATTACTCAATCATCAAAAGTGGTGGTTTAACAAGTATGATAAAATACTATATTATGTACAAAGTTCATTCCTAACCCTAAAAAAAGTGCAGCATTCCTGGAATGCTGTCCAATTTTCCTTTTATTATCCTGGAAAACTTTTGCTTCTTCTTATATTGTCTCTTTTTTTTTCCCTACTCTTAGTTGTGTATTGGAGGTTTTCTACTGGCTGGAGAATAGTCCATTTCAGCTATGTCCATAATGTCGGCATACTGGTCATGGACCTCCTGGTGTTCGGAAGTTGTCGGTGAACCAACAGGGAGTTTCTCTTGCTTCTCACCGTTTTCTTGGTTGCCTGATTTGACTTTTGAAGTAGGGTTAGCTTTGTTTTCTCCATTCTCTTCACTCTGTATTCATGGAGAGCATGCATATAGTGTCATGTTATAAAGGGAATATCTAAACCCTATCTTAGGAAATTAATTAGATATTAACTAGTAGTAACTACATATTAACCAACCTTTGAACTGGTGGTAGATGTAGGAGTAATAGCAGTAGAAAGTTTCCTACCCTTTCCTGCAAAAATGAATATGAAAAAAAATCTGCTTTAGATATGTCTGTTGGAATTGGTGCAAGACAAGACAACGTGGACTTTTTCTAAAGTTTTGATTGACAAACCTTTGGTGTCTATACAACACAATTCTTTCACAAAATGCCCCATAAATAAACATAGAATTAATCCAACTCAAAGGGAATTAATCATAGTTAGATAAGCTTTTTTTGTGGACAAAACTGCCTTGTCAGATTACATGGCCTTGGGTTCGAATGTTCAGAGACCCGGTTCTATGAGACTTTAATGAATAATACTAGCTAGCCCTGGTAGGTCAAAATTTGGAAGAAAACTATTCCTAGGGGAGGGTAAACTTAATGGTGCTTTGGTCTGTGCTTCCTAGGTCCATAGTAATCTTCATGAATGCTTGGTAGCCAGTGGTGTGATTTGTTCAACACTCTAGAGACTTTTTTCTTCTTGGTACCTGTACAATGCCCTTCTTTGCAGAGAATGACATCTCCCATAACTCCATTACTGGTTTTCATCAAAGCACCCTCCTGCATTGAGCAACAGGTTTCCTATCTTAAAACCATTCAAATAGTATTGAACAGAATGCATAAATAATGAAAGAATTAGATACTGACGTGCACTTTGGGATACCCTGCTGATTTGAAACTTTTCTCCAATCGAATCCCTTCAAAAGAGAAGATAAGATGTCAGAATTTAATGATATGTAATTGAATTGCAGAAACAGGAGCCTCTGTAGTTACTAAGAAAGAATTCTTGGCATACCTTCAACACTAGAAAGGAAAATGAACAGCACCAGAAGAGAGACTGCTAAGCAGGAAGGCCTCATTTGCAGAAAAGTTTGTGAAGAGCAGAGAAATTGTTGACGATATGGAATTCTAAGGTCAGTAAAAGAAGGTGTGTTTCAGTTTTTAGTTTCTCTTTCTTTCTTGGTCTAGGAACTTGAATGTTAGTCTTAGTCCTTCTGAATTGTCGATAGCATGGGAAGTGCCTGCCTTTATATATAGTGCTACTTGGTTGTTAGGACCCACATCAAGTTTCCCAATTTTAACTTGGAAAAAATGAGATTTTTCTTCCACTTTCTTTGCCTTCTTCCCTTTTTTCTCTCCCTTATAAAGTGATGAAGCTATAATTTGTCATAAAAAATGACTAATGATTTGGGCACTTCAATACCTTATTGTTCAATTATGGATTGCATGTTGGTCTTGTTTTAGGGTACTTAACCATGGACTCTATAGGCCTTTAGGGGGACAAAGTTTGTATTTTTAATTGATTTAATACTCTCCACTATGTTCAATTTTAAATTGTCAAAATGAAACCCAAGCCTAGAAAGACATCAAATTTTAGAAATGACCTCAAAGAATGAGAAACGAGAACATTTTTGCCTTCTGCATTCCCTGAACTTGCACTCCCCTTTTGGAGATAGCTTGAGGGTTTTCTGAAATCCTGTTTTAGACTCTGCTCCTTTTTCCAATGACCACCATACCTTCACTAATTGATAATGAAAAACAGAAAGGAGCAATTCAAATTTATTTTAAAAGTCATGCAATCAAAAGTAAAATTGCATTTAGGGTAAGACAACTAATACTATTCTATTGATTGTACATATTGTACCATCATATCGTTAAGCCCTTGATGTCACTTCTTTTGGGTAGTCAACAGCTTTTTTTTTTTCACCTTTTGACAAAAGCTAAAACAACAGGGGTTTTTCCATTTTAGATGATTAATCATATCATATATCTATGGATGTCTTGAATGGTGGCTTTTGATGCAATAGTCATAGTTTACAACTTTGCCATATTAATGTAACTGTTTCAGAGATGGGACTCCTTGATAGATCTAATCCATAACTTTTTTTCCCCTCTTTTTTACTATGATCTTTATGAGTTTCTCAGTGCCATGAGCATTTACAAGAACGAGGGGAAAAAAAAAGACTTTGGTTTTGAGATCTTCATTGGTATGTATTTCAGATAACTTGTCTTGTCATTTTATGTACTGAGCTAGATCTCTTCCCATTTTGAATGCTGAATACAGAAATTTAAGGGGTGAAAAAAAATCTGCTTCCTAAAAGGTTTTGAAAAAAGGAAAATTTAATCTACTTCCTATTTTGCGATCAGAAACTTGTTATAAGTAAACCCAAAGTAATAATTAGTATAATAAATATTTATCATTTCATAAATAAAATCATAAAATTATAAAAATAAAGATTAATGTCACAAATGGTTCATGAATTATAATAAAATTTTTAATATATTATTTGAACTCTAAAAATCTCTAATGTGATATATATGTTATGAATATTAATTTGGTATTCATCTTTAATATTGTTAGTTTAAAATGATGACACGTTACGAATAAATAATTTTTTAAATATCATATTAATTAATATATTTACAATACATATATCATATTAAAGATTTTTAAAATTTAAATATTATATTAAATATTTTATTATAATTTAAGAATCATTCATGATATTATATCTAAAAATAAAAATAGCAACAAAACATGGACATTTAATTGCTTATGCCTTCTAAATGATAGACATTGTATTTTTTGTGTAGACTCCATTTGGGAAATAAAACACACAAATCCAGTGTGAGAAGATGTAAGAGATTTTCTTAAGCAAAAACTTTATAATACTTAATATAACATAAATAATAGAAAAGAAAATTATTTCAATAAAGTTTTTAAATTCTTTCAACGTGACTAAAAAATTGACATATAAATTTTTTATATTTAAAAATAAAAAATCAATATATTATTAAAGAACACAATAATTTTTAATCTCATTATAAATTTAAAAACTTTATCGATGATATATGAAAAAAGAATCTTAATAGTATCTTTCAAAAAAAAAAACTTAATAGTAAATAGGATAAATTGGAATGTTTGGTTGAATTTATGAAAAAAAGTAGAAAGGGTATTTATGAAAAAAAAAAAAGTTACGAGAATGATAAAGTGGGGAGTGAAAAAAAAAAAAGCGGTTGAGGTATGAATGAAGGCAACCAATTAAATCTTACCACGTAGCGTCTCATAAAGAAAAGGCCGGCCAAAATCCACGTGTCACGAGAAACAATGGGATTTAATGTGACGGTGACAGATGATGCTGGAAGTCACCCCCATTGTCACCCAAATTGCTGCCAAACTCCACGTGTCACGAGAAACAATGGGATTTAATGTGACTGTGACAGATAATAGTCACCCCACGTGTCACCCAAATTGCCTTATGCTGACATGGTGGTTTTGTCCTTAGTTGCCAATGTGGCGCCACTCCACGTGCAAGTCATAATCGTAGTAATAAAGGTGACGTGGCAGGTATTTGACCACGTGGGCACCGCCAGTTCACGTTGCTTGTTCTGACTTTGGCCAACAGCAAAACATGTGGGCCAACTTTCATCAATTAAAATTTGCCGCATGTAACGGGGGAATATTTTTCCTAATTTTTTGGGGTGAAGACATTGCTCTTAATAAACCCATAGTACTGGTTTTTTTTTTTTTTAAAAAAAAAAATTAAGGAATTCGAAATATGAACAATTTTTAAATTTTAACTTTACACAAAAAATAAAATATCAATGAATTTTTATTTATTTTTATTTCATTTTGAGTTTAATCAGAATATTGGGCAAAATAACATCTCTCTATAATAATTTACCTTTATTTAAAAAAATCCCTTCTCCTTATTGTTCAAATAATATTAAAAAGAAAATTTTAATTTTCAAAGTTTTATCACAATACTTAGTGCTTCAGTTCGTGCGAATATCATTCATTTATTTATTTATCATCTGCTTTGCCAATGCGGTTTATATTGTAAATCATAGCAAAGTTCATTGAATTATATAAAATTTATGGTTACAAGTAGATATAGATATATATATATATATATTTTATATATAAAGAAGGTTAGGTCAAAGGAAAATATAAAAAATTATAAATACTGAGATTGAACCTCAACCTTGTTGAAATTTAACTTTTAAAAGAGGTGAGTGAACCATTTGATTAAAATCTGAAATTTAAAGTAGATATAACTTTAATTATAATCTAGGTAATAAAAATAAGTGTTTTGATTTTTTTTTTTTTAAGTTGAAGGCTTCATACTTTGAAGCTAATGCTTGTTTTTGGTCTTTTCGTGTTAAACAATTGTTATAATTCAAAGTCCTAAGTGGCTCATTCATGCAATTTACTTCTTGAATCTTATTCTTTTGAGGCTTTCAAATTAATTATATTAGTCTTTTATTAATAGGGTATATCACACGACCAAACGCAGTACTTTTGCATTTTTTCAGCCGAAATTTGTAGTTTAGCTTTTCCCGAACGGGTTCTGTTGCTTTTGTTTTTTCTCATGTTTGACGTACGACAAGAACAAAAGTAATCTTAGAATAATAGGAATGAGATTGACTTTGTCAGAATAAAAGTAATCTTAGAATAATAGGAATGAGATGACTTCGTTAGAATAAAAGTAATCTTAGAATAATAGGAATAAGATCACTTCGTCAAGATCCTGTTTGTGATAAATTACCTACTTAATTTATCAATGAATATACTAATTATACCGATAAATATCCAAAAATAAGGAGGGAAGGATCATATTGTGGCTCAAAATTTAATTTCTTCTTTTTATATATGTTTCAATCCCTGGGTCGAAAGTTTGGAAACATTTGTATGAGTTCCAAGGTTGTTGCTAATTGTTATCCTTGTTCAGGAGAAATACTCTACTTTCCAACGTTAAATCTTCAACTAATACTAAACAAGAAAAAAAATACTGCGGTAATATGTACCTTATTGTATACAAATTACACAAGCTTGGATAGGTTTGTTCTTTTTCTTTTCAATCATGAAGAAAATGCTCAATCCATAATATCAACTGCCTTTTCAACCTGGTCGAATAATTCCTCTTGTTTTTAAGTGGTGCCCAAACAAGAAAAACAACCAGCATGATCTGTCTTATCCTAGTCTTGATCTTGTTTTTAAGTGTTAGAAAAATTTTTTTCCTTTTAAGTGGTCGGAAAATTTTGCTCTACTTTTTGGACCAAAGGGGTGCCGGGGAAAAGTCATTGAAGAAACTATAAATTTTTTTGGCATAGAAAATTATAGTCATAGTATTCTTTTTTATACACGAAATTAAAGTTGTTAAAAAGGGTACTGGATCTCAAATTAAATTCTTTACTAACA